TTTCATTTCAGTGAGCTTTTGCCACTAAGGTTTCCCATAACCCTAATTCTGGTTGTAATTTTTTTTGCATTGCATTACAAAGGAGGGGTAACAAAACTCTTCTTCCTTGCCCCTGTGCTGTGTTCTTACAGGATTATGCTTGGGAACAGAGAGACCTGGTGCTAGGAGAGGTAGTTTGGCTCCATCTGAAAATGCTGCTGAATTAAACCTAATTCAAGCACCTGAGATATGACAAATTTCCATCAAATCCAAGGCAGGTCTACCTGAATCCCTGCCTGCAGCACCCCAGGATTTGACCTCTTTTCCATCCTCTCCCTTCCCAGCTGTTCAGCTCTGTGGCAGATCCTGGCTGAGCTCCAGGTCCCTGTCCCCAAAGCAGAGCTGCCCCATGGACAAACCCACAAACCCCAGTGCTGTGCCCTCCCTGCTCCAGGGGCAGCCCTGGGGCTCTGCAGGACTCCCCTGGTTCCTCTGCAGGACCTCGACTGGCAGGTCAGGGGCAGCCCAGCCCAGCCCTGGGCACAGCACCAGCCCCACAGGGCACCTGCCTGAGGATCCCCACTGTGGGACTGGGGGCTGAACCTCCTGGGTGCCCTGTTTTAGGGCACAAACAGACCCAAACCTGGTCTGGCAGCTCTAAAACTGCCCCTTGTCGATTCTGTGGGTGTTCACAGTGACAGACATGATGTGGGAATTGCTGTTCTACCTGTCTGGGAGAGCTTCCTACCAGCCTGGGAAGGGGCCAAGATGAAGTTTTCCCAACAGCTGCAGAATCCTGGGAGTACAAGCTCTGCATATACAGCTCATCTTGGGCTTTTTCTCTGTTTCAAAGAAATAACAATTCCAGGGAAACGTTAATTTCACCGGAATCCCAATATTTACATGAATTAGAAACCCTTTTGGTCAGGCCTACCAGCACATGGCAAAGTTTGTTCAAATAATGCAGCAGCGACCTCTGCTGCACAACTGCTGCTCCTTCATACTTGTTTTACTCATAAACCTGCTGTCAATACTCTTCCAGATAAGATAAAACAACAGCTTTTTCAAAAACAAGTATTCTTACCTCAAGGTAAGAGCATTCCTCTCTTTACTGGTAAAGGGGAGGGCTTCAAACAGCAGAAGATAATTTTCGAAGTTACTGGCATGAAGATACCACAACTTATTTGGAATGCTTTCCCTGGTTATCGAGGACAATATTAGCATTAAATGAAACTTGAAGTACCCTCATAAAAATATTTCTGTTAATTTTACTGGGAAAGAACCCGAGGCAAAAGCCAGTGGGTGATGTGCCAACAGACACACATGACATCAGTGGCAGAGGCACCAACGCCAGGGAGAATAACAATTTCAAGTTCTATTCTTTAATCACAAAATGACCCTTTCCCTTTCCTTTGCTGGGTCAGAAGAATGTCAACCAACTGTAAAAGGCATCATGCCTGGCCATGGTGCTCCACACCATCCACGTGACAAGGGAAAGCCACAGAAACTGGGAAAACAGGGTGCTTGTTTTCAGCTTGTGATTTACTCGATCACATGAGAACACAAAGGGCAGTGAGCAGTCATGAGCCTCTTGGTTTGATCTTCATGAAGTGTTGAGCAACCACAAATTCTGCCAAGTCACAGGGGCAACATGCAGAATGGTGTCCTTCCCCTTCCCTGCCACGGCTGCCTTTCCCCTTTCCACTCAGTCCTCCAAGGGAGCACATACTGCACGTGTAAGGAATTGGAGTCTGGCCCTGCCATGGTCCAGCATCGCTGCATCACTGCACTCTCTGCTGTTCCAAAAGAGTCACAGCTGGCACAGAGCTCAGCTGTGGGATCTCACACCCACCCTGCTGGTGACAGGGGAGCAGCCACCTTCACAAACCCCCAGCCAGGAGCACCAGGCTGTCTGGCAGCACTGGAGAGTTATCACTCATTTATTACTGCCAGGGACATCCAATTCAGTTGATAACAGCAGTAAAAAGAGTTTTCAAAGTGTTCATCTCGGGAGTGCAGTTGTAGTCTTTCCACCTTACATATGCAACAGTTATAAGTATCTTAAGATTAAGCTCATAAGCAGGAAAAGGGGAAAGCAATTCTGTTACCTCACACTGAAAGGGACAGTTTTCCCTCTAAAGTGAAACCAAAATGAGCTTTCACGTGCTCAGAATGAAAGCGGATGTTTTGCAAGTCAGGCTGCACAAATTTCCCTGAAAATTCCACTTATGAAATACTAGAAAAGAAACAATACTGAAAGTATGAGAGAGAAATAGTAGTAATGTGGTAGCTGGACAAAGTTAAACTATGTCAAGGCACAAGAAGGTAAAATAAAAAAAGCTTTCCTTTAACACCTTTTATTCTTTGGATCCAGCATTGTGAACCTGGGGGCTTTAAAAATGTCTCAGATTTAATGCTCAGACCAGCACAGGTGACCTCATGAAACCACAGTATTGTTGGCTTTGACATTCAGCATCCACACTGATTTTTCAAAGTATGCCTGGTGTTTTCTTGGCAGACAAAGAGCAGCAACCTCTCAAATGGTATGGGAGGTAGTGTATTCACATGACAAGGTTAATTTATTTTTAACATATTTGTTTTCATTTCATTCTACTCGTCCTGCCCAGGAATCTTTGCTTCCAGCACCACAAGTGCAGTCAGGAGGCACCTGGGAGTGGTCCCTGGGGCTGCACAGGAGCTTCCTGGGCAGGAGAATCCTCCTCCCCTGCCAGCAGCACTGACACCTGAACAGCCTTTGGGAGCAGCCACGGGCCGTGTTCTAAACACCATCCTCACACCCCAGTCTGCTCATGGCTTTGGGGTTTTACACACTGACCAGACCTGCTCCTGCACAAGGACAAAGCCATCACCTTCTGATCCCCAGCAGACTGCAAGGGGTTAACTCCTAGTTTGGGAAGAAGATAACTCACAGAAAATATTTACAGAAACTGGTTTTCTTTGATACTTTCCTTGTGGTTTTCCACCTCCTGTTGAAGTTCCTCTGAATAAATCCCAGCTGTTTCCTCCAGAAGGATAACACAGACATGAAACTCTCAATGACTGTGAAACACTCCCTGTGCTAAAAGAAACAAAACTTACTCACTAATGTGTCAAAACATGCTTATTTTAGGTTTATCAGCAAAAAGAGAAGGAGAAGGCACTTAGAGCATTAAAATTACAGACTTCTTTGGAACAGTATGAATATTAAATTCTACAGCTTTGGACAATAGCTAATGAGAACTGCAAGAAAGTAGCATTGTAGCATACAAACCTAGTAAAATTATTCTTTTTCAGATTAGTGTGGACATTCAGAAACAGATCCCACCAAAGACTACTGAACAAGTACAGATTAAATATTCATCATAGCCAAGAAAATCTACATGAAACCCTTTAATACATACACAGTACTTTCAAAGAGCCTACTTATAAGGGAAGGTAAGCTATGACCATTGGAATTTACCTTCTGTCAGTGCCCTGAGAGCACCAAAATTGTCCCCATCGGCATCATCTGGGACCTGCACCCACGTGCTGCCTGCCCAGAGCTGCCTTTGAGCTCAGTCCCTCAGTAGTTTCCTCTCAGAGCAGTTCTGTCGCTGGGTTTGGGGTGGGGGTTTGCCCTCACATTTGCCTCTTTGCTCAGGACTTGCATCTGACCCCAATTTCCTCATAATATCGTGGGGCAGAGAAAAAATACTTAAAAAGCCCTGTTAGATAATCAGAATTAAGGTTATCTGCTGAAGCTGTGTGTAACAACTGCAGTCAGACTGGACTGACAGGCCCAGCACAGGTTTTTCCTAAGGTTTATCTACTGAGGACTCCACAGTTCTCTTCTGCAGAGCTGCTCTCCAGCTGGTTGTTGCCAGCGTGTACCTGTGCCTGGGGTTGTCCCTGGGCTGTGGAACTGGACAGTTTGTGTGACTCCTGTTTGCACCTTCCTTCATCCTCTTGAGCTGCTCCTGAGTGGCAGCACAACCATTGGCTCTTAAATCCAGAGGGTGTCTAAGTTGGGTGTCCACACTGTCAAATGTGTGCTGTGCTGCTGCCCTTTGCTCTGAGAGGAAAACCCTTCCTGGAGATGTGCAGAGCACTGTGCCAACACACTCAGTGCCAGCTGGAGATGTGCAGAGCACTGTGCCAACACACTCAGTGCCAGCTGCTTCTCCCCTGGGACCCTGAGCCTGCCTCTGGCATCCGTGTGAGCTGGGAAGGGCAGAGCTGACCCTGAGCCTGCCCCTGTCAGGGGTTACAGCTCTTGCACAAATCCTAATGTTTCCTTTTTAATGTCTGCCACACAGCTGCCTGTTTGCTGCCCTCTTTGCTGCACTGCTGAAGCTGAGGGGAAGGGTCACTCCAGGACACGGATAAGCCTCGGGATTTTTTGTCTCTCACAGAACAATTGGGGAATTTGCAACAGGTTTCTTTCTGTTGCCACTTCCTGGAAAGAACACAGCAGAACAAAGTCCAGCCAGTACAGGCTGTTCTCCCTTGTGCCACTCTGCTACTTTCAGCCTTAAAAAGCAAAAATCAAAACAGGAGGTACAGTGGTATTATTAGAACAGTTTACTTTTCAGTGACGTTCATTTGCCTGTATAAAAATGGGTAGATCATTGACAAGTTAAGAAGAATGCCAATCCCAAAAGATTATGCTGCATTGTTGCAACATTTTCTTAAACCATGGGAATATTATCATATTTTGGCTCAAGTGTCTTTGCTGCAGATGAAATGCTGATTTCTAAGGAAAGCCAGCAAACAGGCATCACACTTCTGAGGGCAGACAGCCCTTGGGCTCTCCAGCCTGTTTGGGCACTGCCTGCATGTCTCTCTTGCTGTGTGTCCCTGTTCTCTCATCACTGCCACAGTGACAATTACTGTGATCTCCATGGACCAAGCCATTAGAAGATTTACTGGAAATAAGTGCCCAGCAAAAGTCAAAGAACTGCCCTGTCTGGCCTCCTTTGAGGAGCTTGTTGCAATGTTGCCATCCCAAACATTCAAAAACCCAGCTGCTCAAACTAATAAGCTTTTGATGAGACTGTGTGTAATAAACAATGTCTTGTATTCTTCTCAGCTGTCTTCCAAACTCCTGGCTCTCTAATGAGTAGTTTCAGATGGGTTTGATTTGGCAACCTCTAAATGAAAGCTGAAACTTGTACTTAGCCCCTTAATTACTGCAAGATCTGTTGAAACTACTTTATTAATGAATTTTGAACAGGATTGAAGTTCCATAAGCAGATTTTTTGGTATAGAAATACCTCCTTTCATTTTTTTAGGTGCTGTCTATTCACATCACTTGTGCAATTCATGGATTCTTGCCCAGCTAAAATTTCTAAGGTTGACAAAGGCTCTTTTGATCAGCAAAGGGTTATGAGACTCGTGGTGGGAAAAACTGTTGGGAAACCAAGATAAATCCCCCACTTTTTCCATCCTCTGTGTTAGCTGGCTGCTTTCCATGGGAGAGAAGGAAGAAAATCCTCTCCAGCAGCCTTGGACTGAATTCCAGTTCAGTGTGCTAATGACCAAATTCAAAGAATATCTTCCACCATTAGCAGAGTGTTTTCCTGGATGACTGAGGGTTCACTGATGTTCACTGCAGTAATTCAGAAGTCTGTCTCTGGCACTAAATGCAAGTGGCCCACAAGCAGCCTTGATTATCCCAACACTGACAGGAAATCCGGAGAAATCTGTAGCTTTCATGTGCCTTTCACGTACATGTTGTTGCAACATTGAAAACAAACAACAAAAAACCCAAACAAATTAACCCAAACCAGTCCCACGACCAAAAAACAGAATTGATTTTAGATCAGTTTTTTTTTTAAACTCATTTTTGACTGTTTGTACTCAGATGCATATTTTCATACTTCAGAATTGCCAGGTAGAGAAAACACAGCACTTGGGATCAAGCAATTAAAAATTTGTCTGCTTTCCAGTGGAAAAATCCAGGAGACAGGCATGGCATTGGTAAAGTTGTTCATGTTGTGCTGTTTTATAGGAAGAGCTTCTTTTGGGGATTTGGTGGCCAAGGCTGCACTTTTTCTTACCTTAGAACAGGTGTCTTTAGGGGAGCAAGGAGAAAGTGCTCACTATGTTCTTTTGCCTGGAAGAGCTTGAGCTTTGCTTGGTGTGTGTAAAGGCTTTGAAAGCTCCCTGTAATCTCCTACCTGTGTCACACATTCACACCAGGTCTCACAATCCAGGCCTCTGACATTTCAGCATTAGAACTATTTATCTGCAGGGACATAATTGAGGGACCTGGAGGTTTAACATTCCTCCACCCTGTGTTAATACTGTTTGGTTCATTGTGTTCCAAAACAGATCACAACCACTTGGGGTGAGGACCAGGGCACTTTAAACAAGGATGGTCCACCAAGGTCTCTGCAGTCTGAGAGTTCTTCATCTTGTTCCCACTGACATGAATTGTTAGGTGATACCCACTTAAGATTTCACTATTCAAACAGTTGGATAAAGAATTAACAAATTTCCTTGGCACAGTTTAATTAGCAGAGGTGCTTGGCACTGCTCATGGTGTGGGAACTGCCCAGGGCCAGAGGCTGTGATACTCCTGGTTACTCACCTCACCAATGACAAGATGAATGTTGGGAATATTTCCCAAAATAGCATGGCATGGGCATTTGAAGAAACAGAAAAGAAAATATAAGAAAAAAGAAAAGGAAGCCTTAGTTCAACTGCAAATCCATAAAATGGAGAATGGACACCATAATTTTGTTGTATTTTAAAGTATCCCCTTACAGTGGGCAGGTACTGGAGTTTGGAGTCCTCTCTTCTAGAGCAAGGTGATCATATCACTGGCTGCACTCAGGCACTGCAGCTCAGGCTTTGTGAAGATGAACTCCACAGCATTGTAACCCACAGATCTGAGTCCTACAGCATTTAACATCAGCTCCTGGTGAGGCCTCCTGACACAGCCAAGATGCCAAAGAAAGCAGCACCTTTGAACCAACCTCTGCCAAAGTTATCCTACAGAGATGCTGAACTGGAATAACCAGATTGAGAAGTGATGCTGGGAACTGCTGAAATATTGGAGTGTGGTGTTTACTGATCATGCATCAGAGGCTTTGGTATTTGGGTCATCCTAATGCTTTGATCCCTGGTCCTGTGTCATTCTCTCCCTGTGCACACTCGCTCTATCAAGGCTTTGTCTAATGCTGTGGTCCTTCAGTGCTGCTGCCTCTAAAACCTCCACTTTGTTCTGAATTTGATTGTAACTGGGTTCAGTCTGTGTGACTGTCAAACTAAACTTTTGTTTTCTTAATTGTCTAATTACTGCACAAGACCATCCCCATGGGAGGTCTTGTGGTTTTTCCTTTATAAGCTTTAAACTTCTCTGGATAAATTATGTATAGGTAAAATACTCGGGGTTTTTAATTAACATGTTCAATAATAATTATGTTTAATTAGTTCAGACCTGCACTGCTTGGCCTGTATATTTCTGGTTTCTCTGATTATGGATTAATATTAAGCTTTATTGTTTTATACCGAAGGGGTTTTTTTAAGCTGAAAACAATAGTTGAAAGGAGTAAACAAATGCAGGATTTTTCTACTACTCTGTTTCCCCAGCATGTGATAGTCTAAAAATACAGAAGTACCTAAAACTACTTTAAGTGTCAAAGAATTTCTGTAAAATTCCTTAAAACTCGTCTACAAAGCTCCCTTGAAGAACTTCCTTTAATTAGCTGAAAATTAAAAAATTAATGTGGTGTGGATAAAGCCAAGGGGAGGAGGATCCTGTGGCCCTACAAAGCAACTTGACACACTTCCAGCCTTCTCTAGGACTGTTCCAGCCCACTTTTTAACCTTTGCTACTCCTGCTCCCTCAGAGTAGTTTCACTTTTTCCCTGCTGGGCAGGGAAAGCTGGTGCTGCTCAGAGCTGTCAGCAGACAACCCCTGCACACTTCCCCCTGCAGGGCTCCCTCTGGGCCACACAGCACCAGCCACAGGGTTCTGTGATGAAAGGGAATTTCCCATGGTCATAGGAGGATTAGGCAACTGCCTTGCTGCTCCTTCCTTCCCTGTGGAGGGGGGTTAGGGTTTGATCCAAAACCAACAGAAGTGTGTGGGCAGAATTTCATTCACTGACACTGGTTTTATGTCAGCCTCTATAAATAGAAAACCTTCCTGGAGCTAGAAAGTTTGCATAAGTGTGATCAGCTGAAACTGCTCTTTCCTGAAGTCCCCACCCTGCACCCAGCAGTGCCACCAGCCTTCAATGGGAATGAACGTGTCGGGGGCCCAGCAGGAACAGAATTGGGCCTTATAAGGTTTTCACAAAATTAAAAATACACTGGAGTTTTGGCATTTTCTAGCCCAGCCTCCTGCTTAAAGCAGGACTACCAGCAGTGCTGGATCAGGTCAGCCATGGTTTGTCCAGCAAAGTCTAGAGAACCTTTTAAAGGATGGAGACCCTGCAGCCTGAGTGGCCCATTCCAGTACTGCATTACCCACCAGTGAATGTTTCTTTTAGCATCTGGCTTGAACTCCTGAATCAGAGACATCTGCCTGTGCCACTGGTGGTTATCTGCCACTATGGAGAGATTTCTCTCTCTCTTCATACCTGCCCTTTCAGCAGCTGTAGGATTCCAGTTGATATCCCCTCAGCCTCCTGCCCCTGCCTGAGCAGGACTGGCTCCCTCAGCCCCTGGTTGGCAGGTCTGTGCTCCAGGGCCCCACCTGGGCAGCTCTGCTGCATCCTCTGCAGTCTGTCCACATCTGCTTTGAACTGAGGGCCCTAAAGTTGACTCTGGTATTTCAGCTGCAACTCCACCATTCCTGAGTCCTGGGGTGTGGTGACTCCTCTCCCTTTCCTGCCTGCATTTCTGATGTGCCCA